GTGGTCAGGTTTCAAGCTTGTGACATGTTTCAAAATACGTGACCATGACCGTTTGACATTCTCCTCGCCCCCGACATTTGGATTTGGAGTTGCCTGAAAGTGGTGTGAGCTGCACGTTAGATCTGACAAACAAAGCCCCTTTGATTTCAAAAGCGTACAAAAACTTAGTTTATCATTTTTTCGAAGTCAGGCTCGCACTCCTAACATAGACTACCTGCAAATATGAATGAAAGGCCAGGAAACGTTGGTCCTCTCCGCAGAACTGTAGAACAGGACTCGGAACAGGATGTCACTTTAAACTCCGCACTGCAAAATTCTTGCAAAAAATTATGAAGCATTGTAAGGAAATTTGCATTGCAAACTATTTTCTTCGTAAGTTGCGAAGGAATAGTTTGCAGGTTTACGAACTAATTCTTTGCAGCGTTACGAAAAAAATTCTTCGTAAGGGGCAAAGAACTAGTTCGAAATGCGAGGGATTTCGTTGCAATTATGCAAAACATTTTACAACGCCTCAAAATTCTTTGCAATGGAAACAAGTTTTTCGCAAGCTTTTTACAGTGCGAGACTTAAGTCTGTCTGCTAAACTGCGAGACTTTCCGGTTTAAACTGGTAGACTTTTAGTCACGCCGTTAAAACTGACACCTTGTTCGACAGATTTGCTGAGTTTCGACGTTTGTCGATGGGACAGCCCACCGGCCCAACACATTTGTATAAAGCACAATGTGTTGTGACGTTAAACAGATATTTTTATCCCTACCGTCGAGCTTAACCGCAAGGCTGCCTGTTGACACGCACCGCTATAATGACCTGCTATTCAATCAATGTAATAAACCTCTGGCACGACGCATAGGCTAGACAAATATTTGCCGACTTATTGAAGATTGCAATTGTGACGTATCAGACGAGCGGGCTGCAGCCACAGCCACACACACGCAAGCTTTGTTGAGTTTGGGTTTATTTAAATACCGTACTGCATGCGGGGTTGCCCATGGCTACCTGCCGTTCCGATGACCACTTCACCTACCGACCCCGTACGAGTCTTCGAGTTGGCGAATGCACGAGCCTACGAGTCCCCCCCTCCCCTCTCCCGTTTCTGACTATGTACGATTTTTAACTGTTTATCTTGCTTGCCCCATGACAGATTCGCAACAAATCAGGCCGTTTAAGGTTATACCCAGTGTTAAAGGGTCCGTTGCAGGAATTTAAAGGGCCGAGCGCCTGCCAACGTGCCACTCCACTCAGGGCGCAACCGGCCCTGACGGGACAGCCTGCCACTGGTTGAAATGTGAAACGTCTAGACTGCTTCCGAAAAGTGTGCTATCCCTGCCTCTCTCTCCCCCTCTTTCTCTCGCTCTCTTATACTCCCGTAACAATCGCGGGGTAACGTCCGGAGGAAAAGTCGCGTATCTCCGCCCGACTTCGAGTCATCTTACCGGTGAGTTACGTGACCGCCGGGCCCCACCGGCTCCATTGGGTCGGCAGTGACGCGCAACGACAGATACACTTTTATTTTTAGAACCGGAGAGGAGGAGGATGTCCCTCGAAGGGCAAGGGCAGGGAAATGGGGGAAGGAAGGAGGGAGGGAGGGGGGGGGTGCACTGCATGTTGCATTCCTGCCCTTCAAACTAGCCATTGGAGTGTGAGGCCAGCCGATACGTTAGCGCTTCGCTAGAGGAGTTAGAAGCCGCGGGCAGATATCGGGTGTTTGGCTTGAGAATGTGGATCGGCCACTCTATTGAGCGGCCAGTATAGGAATCTGCTAAGCTAAGTTCCTGCAAGCACTGTTACAAGTTTAATCGTAAGTTAACAAAAAATGTCCTGTTAATTTTTTCTACACAAACTCTTCGTTATTTTAAAGTAACGAATATATTCGTAAAATAACGAACAGTTTGTAACTCGGTTGTTGTCCTAAAAAAACGATCCTGGACACAGAAATTTATCAAACAAACATCCTGATCAATTGACACAGTCAAATCGTGATGTTACGAATAGTTTCGTTTTATACCGCTGCGAACAGTTCGTGACCAATTGACTAATATTACTTGTTAATTTCGATTACGAACTATTCGTGACAGATTATTAACGTGAAGTGACGAAATTCATCAACAGTGAGCTCTCAAAGCGCCTGGTAGGTAGACAATTTCTTGCCTGCAGTGCATGTGTCTGTTGCGGGGTGGCCTACCTTGAGTCTCACAGGCGTCGAGCTTGGGTAATTTGCCGAGAGTTTCTGAGGAAAGAGGACGTACTAATTCTGGATAATGAAAAGGGGGCTGTGCTCAAAACCACGTCACACGAGAATTTCAGAAGCGGACCGAGCGGACCAAAGATCTTGAGTTACCCAAAACGAAACACGATGGTCATCGGAGTCCATAGTGATCACATGACATTTGTACCCCTGGGCAAAGCGTCGATGTGGACTATGGGCCTTCGAGTGACATTGAATGCATCGTGTGCGGCGGCATGGTGCCTCACTTACTTGTTTTTGATCGAGGTTCCCTCGGCCCGTCGACCGTCACTTTGATGGCTTTGCTGTAGGTGGCCACTTGGGGTGGCGAGGTGTTAACGGTTATGGTGATGCTAAAACTCTTCCCTGGAAAATGAGAGAGGAACAAAGTAAGAAATACTGCCACAACATTTGTCTTTTATTACAAATATAAGAGGGCAAGGAAGTGGGCCAGAGAAGGACGCATTTCATTTTCTACCCAGGCATTGTAATCTCTGATATTTTTTGTCAGTGTATGAATCCCGTTTACTTGGGGGACTGCTCCGTCTCGACGATTTGCCGGAATCTATAGAGACGATTGTCTGACTAAGGCCAGCGCTGCTCTGGGAGCTGTTTCCCCACGGGGCGTGGCGGGGCGTTGCGGGATGGACGGCAGGGCGCTGAGGAGCGATTGGTCACATCTTCGGACATTCCTCCGTTCACAGGAAACGGCGCAGCGATTGTCGTCGCGACGCTACAGACTTGTAGCTTCTCGTACACGCACAAAAATATACTACATAATACATCCCCTTCACTAGAAATTTTACAATTACAACTCTACACGTTCTTTTCCCTGTGCACTCTTTAAGTCATCGTAAAAAATCTTACTGAAGTTAAAAAGGTTCATTCAAAGAGAGGCAGGAATGTCTTGCTCGGCCCGGCAGTGTACCAGTGCGAGTGGAGGAGTGAATGGACCGACGCACACTTGCTCAGCCCCCTTCACGGCCCGCCCGTCACGCCCACTCCTCCCTCTCGCGCGGCGCACGGTTTTGCTCTCTTTCAGTACACATCGTATGACGCATCGTATTTTTGCACACTCTCGTGCCTGGTGCCACACAGGAATGCATTGTTAATTAACGAAAACCCTCTCAATAATAACGTCGAGGAAAAAAAATGATGGGAGGAAAAATATCTGTCGGATGCAGGATGCAGGGATAAAACATTATTAGCACAGCAGCACATGCAATTCGCAAAAACTGAGCCCCCTGGTCAACACAAGCTGCACAAGCAAGCCCGAATACCCACTTTTCCCTTTAATGTCAACAATGATTATAATAATACGAGCTGAAGCGCAAAAAAAACGGTATGTTAACATACCGTAAACCGTAAAAAAGGCTAAAGTTATTCATTGTGAGAATCTACTCATTACATATTATTTACAATGGGAAACTATGTTATTTTGCATCACTCTACCTTACAATTTACACACTGTGAAAAAAGTAGGTAGGTTTACAGGAGAATTTTCCTTGACGCCAGACGTGAAATTACAATTTGTAATCGTAAAAATACATGCAGTACGTATCGACTTCAAATCCATTGGTGAGTAAAAAATGTGCTCTCGTAAATTTAAAACTTAAATTGTAATTCGAGTTTACAAAAATTTTGTAAATTTACGGCGATATTTTTTACAGTGACAGCTATACATTTACAGTTTTAAATCGAAGTTTAAATAATTTGACGGTCCGAAATTGCTGTTAAATTGTAGATTAAGTTTACAGAGTATGACAAAAATCAGACATCAACTTCTGGCTGCGCCGCACCTGCTCGCCCACACGGCTTTCATATGAGTGATATGGCCTGTCCGCGGGCCGCACGACTGTCTGTGCGCGAAACGGACAGCGGCAGGTTAACAGTCGTCTTTTATGGATGCAGTGGATGGGGGTGGCTCGGGGTGAGTGGGGGTTGGTGGGGTGAGGTTGAAGTAAAGGGTGAAAGGGGTGAGGGGTGGGAGGGAGGTGAGGGGAGACAAGGAAATCAAAATTAATTTTGGGAGTGTGATTCGCTCCGGAATCAAACGGTGCCCGTCTGTAATCTCCACTCCATGGAGGCGACGAGAAGTCTCGGGCGACCACAATAAGGTGACAAACAAACCACCATGAGGTCGAGGCCACGGGCACGCCCCACGGGCCCGCGGGCGGGTTACAGTGGGCTTTCATTTGCAAGTCTTCACTAGTAAAAAAGAAATAGTCATTCTTGCTTTCTGTGCAAATATTTGACCATTCATGCATTTTCTTGTGCATAAATACGTACGCTTCATTATTTTTCAGAAAATTTCGTGCATTATCATGCAGTTGCAGTTTACTCTAGTCACAAGCCTGTGGTGCACTGTTGCATGCAAATGAAATAAAATATTCCTGCTTACAAGCAAAAGTGACAAATAAATGGATTGGTGCGAAGGCACATCCTGTCAGGTGCACGGTGTCATCAAAAAGAAGTAAAATTAGGAAGAAAATAAGAAAATTAATGAACGCACTGGGGCAGCTGCCGCAACGACTCAACTGACTCACTTCCACTAAAGCGCACGCACACATGGCACGCGCATGGGCCGAGATGTCACCACAGTCGCTGCGCGGCGAAATAAGAAATGGGTGGAGCAACAAAGTAAAAAGAAATGGACTGAAAAAAGCAACGCAACCAAGATCCGCGCGACTGCATCATCTGTGACGCGACACAGCTGCTGGGCTTCTCCTGCTCGGCCCCTGCGACTCGCACCGTCGGTCAGTAAAACTGCAGTTTGGCCCATTCATTCAGTAATGAATTACGCCAACACGAAATAAACCAAATGACAATAATTTCTTTTAGGTAGTCGCTTGTGACCGTCTCCACCCAAAGGTAAAAGTTGCCTGTTCTTGTTACAGTCGTACGATGAAAATGAGCACTGGGCATACACACAGAGTTTTGAGATAATTGATATTCGGCAACATATGCATATGTTGTACATGTACATTTCCAAGTTTGAAAGCGGGACCGAGCGACACATAACCCACCACCCAAATTATTGCTGCTAAGTTAGACGTCTACTCCCCTTTACCGGGCCCCTCGCGCCCCCACCCACCGATAGTGTTTGAGCCTCATTCAGCACACGTCAGGCTCGGGCAGCGAGAGGCGGGGGCGGGGGCGCGGCGGGGGCCTCGGCGGGGGCGGTCACGCCCTTAAGCCGTAAACGCTCCCTGATTGATTTACCGTCGGCTCTCGTTTTGGGCAGATTATTTCGCGGGGCGCGCGGCGGCGAATACATCGGCCCGAATATGAGACTTTCCCCAAAAAGAACAAAAGTGTTACATTTTTTACGGCTTGCCGACAGTATTATTTCCCATTTTTATTTTTCTTAAATCATACTTCAATATTAATTTTTTCTTGGCTTGCCACTCGGCGGGAAGTTTAGCTCGCATCTGATTCGAATGTGTGAGCAGCAGGATGGCGCGGGTGCCCCTGGAGCGCCCTGGAGCCCCTGGAGCCTGGAGTCCCTCTCTGCCCCTCTCCCGCACGTACAGACCGAGCAGTGCTGCCTGGAGCCGCCGGCTGCTGGCTCTGCCGACGGGGCGTCACTCCGTCACTCTCACTGGAGGGAGAGAGACGGAGAGCTACTCGGTGCGGAGGATTCCAAATAATTGCGGGAAGCTCAGCACCGCGACTCCGGCAGCGCACGTACGGCTCGGGTAGCTACACAGCCAAGAAACGAGCTGCGAAAATCATTGCCATGTTTGTTTGTTTAGCACTTACGTATGGAATTGACAAAATTGGGGGATTTGTGAAGAATTGAGACGGAACAACTGACGGGGGGCTATACTATATTCACAATAAGAGACCGCGATTTGAATATTAAGTCTTAGGTGTTTAGACGCCCATAGAACAAAACTTACGATCAAGGTGTAACATGTATGCCTTTAAAACAATAACCTTATTCCACTTGGGTTGAAAACGATACCATAACAACCATGGGACGAATACAATACAAAACATATATTGTAATAATGCAGTCGATCTTGCCGGCTGCTCGTGGATACCGGCGCGGGTACATACGGCCCCATTTCCGGACATGTGCGCGTCATTTTTCAATCTCCGCCTGCTGCCCTTGCGAAAGGAGCGGATGTGATACACTGCTCGGGCGGGTATTAGTTTCCGAGAAACGTTGACGCACAGAGTAAAGAAACGCCAAAGGCAGCACGCATCTGCGCGCATACGTGTGCTTTTTAAAGCACTTTTTAAGTTTTGATTTTCAATAAGCACAAGAGCAGGACAGGAGACGGTGGATATCAGGCGGCGGGGGCCCAACTGGCGTGATGGCCTCCCATATGGGGTGCGCCACAAATTGGTCCATGCCCCGCCCCGCCCCGCCACTCTACGCCACACTACGCCACACTCGGGCGGGCGGTGCACTATATACACACTGCCCCTGCCATATTATTGAACAGCTGGCTCTAGGACAAGCCAGGCCAAACCAACCATAAGCTCACAAAAAACATGAGTGCACTATGCTGCTTGTGACGACAGAAGAAAACAAAAATAGTCTGCTGCTTGCGCAAGATTTGACTCATTTTCTAGGCGTTGGCAAATATTCCGGAATGCCGAAACGGTTGGAAGACACCCCCTAGTCTCACAAGTTAAGGAAACACTAATTTTCTTACACTCTCATCCGCATGATTCAGACCCAATCGTGTTGCATGACCGACAGCCGACAGGAGGCATTTTGTACCCGGGTTTGCAGAGTGGCACATCCACATCATGGCGCTGCTGAGGGCCTGCCATGGCCACGACGTTGCATTGAGTCATGGGAGCCGCCCGACAGGTAGGCAACCCTTCCAGCGCGCTCTCTATCAAGAATGCATGGCCAGTCCATGGGGCCAGCCAATGGGGCCCTGTCATGGCGCACTCGGCGCACTGCGAGGACTGGCATGAGCCTACCGCAGTGTATTTACAAAACTGGGCAAAAACATAGTTTCTTATGGTCGTTTAATGTTATTTCACCTTCACCTTATTATTGAAGGCGACACTTGCGTCATGTATGATGCGGGGCTGAAACACGCGCGCGTGGGGCGGGTATCGTGTCGCCCCCTCCCTTTCACCCCCCTCCCCCTTTCCCTTTCCCACGTGCGTGCGGTGTGTCGCTGTCGGAATCAGAGCGCCACCCGCTGCCCATAGCGGGCCGCCCCCTGCCCGCCGGCTAGGCTCAACCCATTCGGCCCAAATATTGTTTGACAGGCGCCACATCACGCTATCGCCCCCCCCCCTCCTCCTTGCTCGCACGACGGTGGAAATAACCTCGAAATGGCGCGCGAGCCAACTTGCAAGCATCCGATCGTGTTTAATCTCGAAGAAAACGGAACAGCAACTGCACCTCCACCCACGGGGCGGACCTGCTACTCATAGACGACGATACGACAAGGTGGGCCGGAGATGAGAGTGGGGACGAGACGAAGTACTCAGAAGTGAGCATGGAAATCAGAAGTAAAATAAAATAGAGAATAAAGTTATTTGGTGGCGACTTGCCTCTGCCGCTGCGCCCGACGAACCTCAGGTCGTTGAACTTGGCCACCTGGTTCTTCATGACGGACGTGCAGTTGCGCAGCTCGGAGCAACAGTTCTCGTCGTTGCCGGCGCGCACCGTCACCAGGGTGCCGTCGAGCACGTCGCCGAGCGCCACCACCTTGAAGGCGACGGGGAGGGTCTTGTTGGAGCGCCAGTGCGTGGGCAGCGCCGAGCACAGGAAGTAAGGGCTGCCCGTCCGCACCAGCTCGCCGGGATGCTCGGCCTGCAGGGGGAACAAGAACGCGTCAGACCACAAAACACTAAAGGAACATGCACATGGAGACCCAAGCTAATTTGGTCGCCCAAGACATTTTGAGTCCACTGGCATTCAATTCATGTGACGTCAAACTGGTTAAATCGTGCGTGACATGTCACATGAAAAATAATGTGGCATCAGCATTCGAAAGAATGTGACAGTTTTCACAAATGAAGGAATATGTGCAGCGAATTGAATAACAGTGTCATTCATTGAATATTTTTAATGAGAGGAGAGCTATGTTAAGTGTCAAGGACATCCCACAAAAAGGACTAATGCAAATTATTAATTGTAGAACGATATTGTTTCACAACTATTCAACATAGTTTTAGCGGTAGTCATTGTAACGGAGAGACGCCGGCCCTCATAGTCGGCAAGGCCCTATTCTGTTATCACGCAGCAAACAGCGACTATCGGCTGTAGAGCGGGCGACCACGACCTGCCCCAGCAGACGGAGTTTTCAGGAGTGTATTGATAGTGCAACGCGCAAAAGCGTTTGAATAAGAAATCACAGCAAAAAAGACAACAAATGTATTTGTTCTGATAACGCAAGCACGTCTGCGCGGAGAAAAACATTACTTTGACTTTACAAAAAAATGTGATACGTTTGCGTTAAGTTTAAACCTACGTTTCGATTAGAACAGATTCGTGCGCAAAAGTGCTCACACGCACTGAGATAAAAATCTGCCTCGGCACTATACGTTCAGTGTCCAAATCGAAGCTTCGTTGCACTATACGCTGGGAGCTAAAACGTAGCATCCGAGGCAGAGAAAATTTAGAACACAGCGCTAAAACTCCTTTTTGACAGTCACTATCCAATTTTGAGCTGATACAGAAGTCGGGAGCAAACGTTTAGCGTCCAAAAGAAATATTTTTCTCAGTGCAAAAGTGTTAAACGCAAGGGATTGTGCTAAAAATTTTACTATGTAATTTCTTACTAAAATAAAGTAAGATCCAAATCAAGTTAGTGCGAAAGTAGAAAGAACACTATGTAGTAGAGTTTCTGCTGAGTCTCAAAAGCAAACCCGGTTTAATTGTTTTAACTTAAGTTTTATTAATTGTGAGTTTTAACGAGTAGACATTTTTGCATGTGGCAGTGAGATGAGGGGACAGACAGGCAACATTGGCAAGAACGTTACAAACTCTAAAAACCGGGTCACCTTTGCGGCAACGACGCGGTATTAACAATAATTACTAGGCCAGCATTAATAATAAAACAACCAATTTATCTAGTAATGGGGTGGTAAAAGCATTCCCGTCCAGCGGCAGCGTCGCCCGCCGTGGCGGCCGTGTGGCTCCAGTAGATACCGCCTCTGATTAATCTGCCGTGAGGGGGGAAGAAAAAGATGGCCAGCCGTGCGTCCATCACCGTCTGTGGCCGGCGCGGCGCGGGGCGCGGGGCGCGGTGCGCGGGGCTACGGTACCGTGTGGGCGGGGCGGCGCGGGGCCGCGCCAGATCAGGCGACAACACTACTGGTGCTACTACTAATCCGATCTCGATAACGCTCTGCGAGTGGAGGGAACGTCAACAGAGGAGACGCCCGCCATTCGGGGAAACGAATAAAAAAGCACCCTCTTTTGAAGGGAAAAGAAAACCCTGGAAAAAAAATGAGATTTTTGAAAAGTCATCTTCGAGAAAGAAGCCGCCTTTATCATACAGGAACTGTAGTTGTTTAACGGTGGGAAAAATATCTACCATGAGGGATAAGGGATACCCTCCGGTGCAAGGCCACCCCCACCCCCTTCTCTCCACCAGCCTCATACGACGACGCCAATGCCAACATTTTCTGGCGACAATTTGAGGACGCTCCCCGTCATTTGCCGCGGGTGCGTGTTCCCTCTGCGGTTGCGAGGCACTCGTTACGACCGGCACCGCCTTGACACCCACGCACTTCATGTCCTTGACGCCCCAGTTAGTTGTTGTTTAACGAAATACCTTTCGGTTGGATTTTAGTTGTTTTGGATACTCCGTCAGGAACGGATCCACAGTGTTCATAGTACAACAGACCGCTGGAAAAGGGTACCACTTTCGGCTGTTGAATCTACTTAAAAGGTAGATGGAATCCCAGCCAGAAACGTCGTATCGATATTCCGTCGAATCGACATCGACTTGTCGAAAAACTCATCGTTTCGACGTATTTTTGGACCTCCGGTTCGACCAACGACGTCGAAATGACGGTGTTACGACATGCCATTTCTGGCTGGGATACATTCAGGACAACAGTACGTCAAGTATGTTCCATAATTTACAAGTGAACTTCAGCTTATAGAGAAGGGCATGGGGAGGATTTCACCGAGGAACATAACAAGAGTTCGCATCTCTGTTCTCAGTTTTAAACGATGGTCCCCAACTAGGTTCGAAGACCTAGGAATACCTAAGAAAACCTAAGAAGACAAAAAAAAATACAAGAAATAAGACCTTGTTTATTTTGACCTCAAAAATTTATAGCAAAACCTAAAGAGTATGTTCGGAAGACCAAAATCATTAGGAAAATGCGGAAAATATATGGGACCGAAAAATATCCGGGAAGACCTTAATAATCATGGAAAGATTAAAAAATTCATCGTAAGACCAGAAAAATTGGAGAAAGACCAGAAAAGTTGTGAGAAGTCCAGGAAAAAATGGGCAATTGAAAGTCAGAAAGATCAAAAAGAAATAAAAAAAATAGGGCAAGTGAAAGCCAGGAACACCCGAAAAGGCTAAGGAAGACCAAGGGAGACAAGGAGAAGACCCAGATAAGGAAAACTCCGGAAAGCCGGGAAGTCTACACATCATGTGTACCCCGGCATACCACAGCTGGGGACCACTAAGCTGTGACTGCGAAAGTTCTCACCGGACATCTATGTTTACCTCAAACATTTAGGAAATAATTAAATTCACATCACACTCAATGCAGGAAAAGGTCATAGTCTATGTTAAATGTACAAATGTTAAATGTATAACGCTTTGTGTGGGATCAGAATAAGAGCAGTGCATGCACGTTTTGCCCCGATACTTTCTGACCACGGTCCCTTTATTGGGTCGGCAATCCGCCCGCACCAGAGTATGCCGGTGAAGTCTAGGTACGGTGTGCGGTGCGCACCAATCACCAGAACTTTGTGAATGACGATTGGTGCACACTGACAGCCCGTTAAATGAGGGATGGCGATTTAAATCGTCATATAACAGTTTGTTACTTTCCTTGAACGGCCTTTTCTACTTTCTTGTTATACACCCCTCCTTACAGGAACCACTACAGCAGTCACTGCAACAGATGAGTCTCCAGGTTCTCTGCAATCGAATACTCGATAGATCACTCGACTGTACTAATTTAGTCAGATAGTTTACCCAGAGCCTGTCCTCCCTGTGAGACGGACGTGGGATTCGATTCGCCTCCTCTCCTCAAAGCTGGAAGAGTGCAGAATGCAAAGGTATACCCGTAGGTCATCAAAGGTATTATACTTTCTCAAGAACAAAAAAGTCACTTGGGTTTGTAGCGTACGGACTATTTCGTTATATTCTCTGTTTCACCTTTTATTTCGTCCATTTCGGGGTAAGGTGTACGAGCTATTTCGCAAGTGATCCCTCCTCGGTGGTGTCAACCCGAAAAAAATAGCCAAACGGATCTCGGATCTGAGAAATTAATATAAATATATATATATCAGCCCGTAATCTTTTTTTCCCCGTGTTCCTTGCATCTTATGACTATTTTTATTCCCATTCTCAGGATCCATCGAGCAACTTAACTGCAGAAGGACACTTGTGTCTTGCAGGTGCGATGTCATAACGGGCATCTAGTCGAGCTGGGGCCAGGACAACGAGGGCCTTGGTCCACGAGCGATAGGCTAGACCAGCCCACCCGCAACATCCCCCAGCGCAGCGCGCCTCCCTTACTCGTGCACGACACTGTCGTCTACTGCCACCTGACGCAGGCCGCGTGGAAGGCACTCCTTGCCTGCTAGCTCCGCACTCCACACAAACACCTCCAGGCCTCCAGGCGCTCTCACCTGCACCTCGCAGAGCACCCGCTCGGTCCACCACATGTCGTCATTGCTGTTGCCGTTGTTGTTATTGTTGTTATTGTTGTTACTATTGTTGTTGTTTGACGCGTCCGCCATGGCCGCTCTCCGCCTCTTGCTCTTGCTGGGGGCGGCGGTGCCCAGGGCGGCAGTCTGGGGGGCGGGGGGCGGCAGGCAGGCGGCGGGGGAGGCGGCGTCGCCAGGCAGCGAGCTGAGGGGCAGCTGCATCTGTTCGCCCGGGTGGTGCAGGCCGTTGGTCATGTCCGGGAGGCCCTCGGCGGGGCCGCGGAGAGCAAGGGCCCCCGGACACCCCGGGGTCTGCAGCTAGGGAAGCGTCGGTCCGCGCGGGGCCGTGGGGGCCGCGGACGGCCAGCAGGACGAGGAGAAGCAATGCGAAGCACCACTCACTGATTATTCACTATCACCGCGCACTTGATGACCATCATCACAATTATCACCACTTTCACCAGCACACACACCGCGACATCGCACCACGTGCACGTACACACACATACACACACACACTCTCGTCACGACGCTCGCCACGCCGACGCTCGCCTCACGCACACCCTCCTCCGAGCGCGGCCCGACACGGACTTGAAGCTTGGAGCGCGCCGCGCGCGCGCGCGCGGCCGGCCCGGTGCCGGGGCCTAGCGATGCGCGGCCGACTGCAGCGCCACCTGGCGGCGGAGGCCCGCGGTCGGGGCTTCGGCAGCGCAGCGCTCCGCGCCGTACACGCACGAGTCACTACGTAGGGGACTCCCATCGTCGGGAGTGGACTAGGGGGTTGAGTTAGGTAGAGTGACTGAGAGGAAATTTGCGAGAATTTGTCTACGTGCAGGGGCAAAAGGCCCAGAAGGTGGTCCGATATGGAACCGCTCGGTTCCAATTTGATTTTTGTAGGGACGAGGAAATAGACTACCTTTCACACTGATAAACCAAGTGTTTAACTGCTAAACACTTGTAAGTGTCCATCCGCACGTTCAATACTTGCAAGTGTTTAGTAGTACACTTTCAAGTGTTTAACTCGGTATTTGTGCACTTGTAAGTGTGCAACTCCTCTGTTGAAAACTTCCCTCCTCACAGTAAGCGCCCGATCTAGAGAAGTGTACAATGGGAGAGTTGAACACGAACAAGTGCACAAATACCGAGTTTAACACTTGCAACAGTACTACTTCTGAATTGAACACTTGCAAGTATTGAACTTGTAGTTGCACACTTACAAGTGTTAAGCAGTTGAACACTTGGTTTATCAGTGCACACAGCAAGTTACTTAGAACAAGGAGTAAATGTTTGGTAAGGGTTATGGGAAATTACCGAAATTGCCCATACTTAAGTTACGAACTGATGCAGCAAAGATACAAATAAAAATTGCCTACGGCAAATCCTGCTAACCAGACCCCTTCAGTCGGGCACAGTCTGTCTCTCTCCCTTTCCCTCACATCTGCGTGCGAATACGAGGGAGAGAGATAGACTGCGAGGCAAGATTGGAAACACCAACCTACGCCTCGATAAATGTTAGATGCCCTGCGAATCGAAACTAGGGTCCGTGAATTTTTTGGGCACACTGCGCCTAGGCGATCGAAACACCCGGAGGATATCGTCGGGGACCTCCAAAAGAAGCCTATGACACCCAGACAATTCACGTAAACACAGTATCAGCTAACATTTCGACCCACGGCGAGGGGGGTTTACGGCTGGCTATGTGCGGATATAGCAAATAGCAGATCGCTAGTAGCATCAATGCTGGGCGATTACCTGCCTACACCCCTTCATTTTTGACAGTGCCCCGAGTGCCCACTCGCCCATGGCCACAGATGATCTACCGGTTGGGCAGGGTAGAGGTGCGAAGCTTACAGGGCGGGGCGCACTTGCTAGTTGTGCAACCAGATACACTGTCTAAAATGTAAAAAAGCAACAGCCTAAAAACAACAAGTTACATTTATTTCGTTTGATAGCGTACATTGTCAAGACTAGAGACTAGATCATCTCGTGCCAAACTAACGCGCCCACGATGGAAGGGCAGACACATCAACGAACGAACGAACGCACGAACGAACGAGCGAACAGGCAGACAGTCACGTGCTTGCCCGTGGAAGGTGTATCAGTATAACGTCAGAGCGAGATAGGTACGGCAGGGCATCCCCATGTTCGTGAGCAGGCCAAACCATTGCTGGAGGCTGGCCAGCCGCTGGAGGCACACATTCATGTTCCAGTTGGGAAATAGGACGGCCCCAGGGACGGGAACACCCTAAGGGGGAAGTCCAGCAGCTGATAGCGCTCGGGAGGGGCAGGGGGCGGGGGAGAAAGTCGTGCGTGTGCATGTGTGCGAGGGAGACGGTGATAGATTCATCATACCCTCCTCCTCCCACTACTAGCGTTGTCATACTAAGTCAATGAACTAATTCATACGTGGTGTTGGCTACCCGAGCATTGCTTCTTTAAATAAACAAGAACGAAAAGCAGGTGAAGGCGTCTTCACTGATAAATAAAGTGAGCAGTTGGCGTGCACATGCAAGTGTTTAACAATACGTTGCACACTTTTGGTATACTAAATAGGTATTTAACAGTACTGTAGAAGACTTAGTTGTGATCAACTACAAGGCTTGTCAATAAGCTTTGGACACTTTTAAGTATCCAATTTCACTATTGAACACTTTAAAGTATTCAAATATGCAGTGCAACACCTAAGAGTGTGCTACTCTTAGCCGCCCACTACCATGTGCATGCCAGTTGCATACTTAAGTTTTCAGTGAATATTTGGTGCATTGCCAGAACTAACGGGTATTTTTATCGACCACGCACACTATTTAACAAAGTGAGCAACTGTCGTGCACATGCAAGTGCTTAATACTACGATGCTAACTCTAAAGTGTTTGACTGGTTATTTGAACATGTTTAACTTCCATGCAGCCTTAGACACTTTCAAGAGTTTGAAATTTATCGAACACTTTTAACGAATTCAAATTTCCAGTCCAACTCCTAAACCACGAAACCACGATGTTGCACACCAACATGTGCGTTCCAGTTGCACCCTTCTGCTTTCAGCTTATCTGAACGGGAAGGCCGCTTCTCTGGCCAGTGCACTACATCGTACAGCACTTGCACAGTACACAACGCGGTAGCGGTGCAGTGCCCCGCACAGTAGTAAGTGGTCTCCCCCAGTTGGGTCACGCCCATATATTCCCCGCACGGCGAACATTTCCGCGCGGTGCCTCACAGAATCTTACCGGTGCCGGCCTAATCCGGGGGCCAGGGCCGCCTCGGAAAAGTTTGAATCAGCGCAGCCGCGCGGGGAAAAACAGAAGGCACAGATACCGGCCGCTGTGAGAGTGTGGGTTTGAGCGTGTGAGTGTGGGTTTGAGCGTGCGTTAGTGTGTGTTTGAGCGTGTGTTAGTGTGTGTTGGTGCGTGTGTGAGTGTGTTTTTGAGCGTGTGAGTGTGTGCTTGAGCGTATGTATGTGTGTTTGAGCGTGTGGAAGTGCGTTTGAGCGTGTGTGAGTGTGTGTTTGCGCATGTGTTTGCGCCTGTGTAAGTGTTTGCGCAAGTGTGTGCTCGCGTGTGAGCATGTGAGTGTGCACAAGGCGCACTGGAAATCCGGACTTATCTATCATCTCCCAGACACCGCTAAAAACGACTCATTCACGGCTCATTACGTGGAGAGGGTATATTTAAGTCATGCTGCTTTTCCAGAGACTGGAACTCGAAATTATATTTAATTCCCATGCGCTTACTCATAGCAGAGAGTAGTAACGACAATGTGTGAGAGAGACGCTAGGAGCGAGTTGAGCACGGGTGCAAGAGAGAGAGAGAGAGAGAGAGAGAGAGAGAGAGAGAGAGAGAGAGAGACTTGTGTAACGTACTCGCTCCACGCTCGGCGAAGCAGTTTCGGTTTTTACTCGGATCTCAGCCCTCGATAGGAAAGCGAGGCCAGCAGAGTAGATTCTCCCCTTTGATGTCCGAAGGTGTGATGCTGTCTTGCTCCCATGCACCCGGACATGCCATAACAGAGGCGTGGTCCACATGCTTACACAAGCCCCCCGTCTCTGTCAAACGGTAACTCAGCAGTCGCTCTACACCCTTCATAGACATTCATATAAATCAGAACCAAGAAAACCTTGTACAAGTATGAGTACAGAAAAATTGAACAAACCGCGCAAAGGGCAGGATTAACAGATGAAGTAGCTGATTTCAAAAAGGAAGTGAGCGCGCGCCAAAGCGCAATCGATCTGCTGAGGGACGGTTCGAGAGAGAGTGTCCGTGTGTGAGGAGAGATGGGAGAGAGGTAAGGGGAGGGAGGAGGAGAGGAGCAGCGGAAGCGACAGAACGAGAGCAGTAAGGTGCCACATACGTACCACCACGCCGCTGAGGGTATTTCCCGCGCCCACTCTCTCCCCGCGCACACACGCACACTTTCGCTCATTTTTACGCTATCGATATCATTGTGCCCGGGGTGGTACATGTGGGGATTGCCCGCCC